GTTTTATTTAAGAAAGGACTTGTATCGGTAAAGTTTCTTCGGAAAGAATTTTTACGGAAAATTAACTAATGAACGGAGGCGTAACAATACAAAAAATCACATTAGTTAAATGCATGAGTTAAATGAAGCACAATAGAATAAAAATTTGACATTTAAAGAAAGAAAACGCTATGGAATAATAGTTTGAGTAATTCAATGAAAAAATGTGTTACTTTTATGACTGTTTTGCCTGCATGATAAGAAGTCAGCCTGAAATAGTTGAATTTGGTGGTTGCAGTGTACAAAAGAGAAAATAGGCAAAGTTGAATCATAGTGTTTCAATTTTGGACAAAGTTTGAAAAGTTAGGAGTATGTTCAAATGGAAAAACATATTATTATGCGTTACTGTAACAGTGTAAGACAAAAAAGAGGCAAAGTTTGACTTAGTTCAATACTCCTTCTTTTCTTGTTGCAAACACATAGATGTGAAATCACCAAAGTCAACTTGAGCTGTGACTTCAAGGGACAGAGGGGAATTGGTGGCTTTTGTAGTTTCTTACAGGTCAGATAACAGTATAGCTGGTAATCTGTTCTATATACAGCATGAGTCTTGTTTTAGCTGGCCTGTAGGAAACTGTTATATTTGGTTATAGGATGATAATATAGGAAAATTTCTGTTTATAAATAGGATATAAGTTTCACTAATCATCACCTTATTTTGAAACTTAAGCTCTTGACCTATTTCTGGAAGGATTATCTAGTACTGAAGTTACTGCTTTTATAAATTTTGATTTGGCACAGAACAGCAGTTAAAACATCATTCTTGCTTTGACCATCAATCTTTGCAGACATTTTAAGACTGTTTGTTTTAAACTTTCAATCATCATACCATGAGGTGAAGTTAAAACTAGCTCTGCTTACCATCAAGTTTGTTGATACTAATACTTATTTAATTTCCATGCCAATAGACACAAACTGTATCTTCCCTGTCACTGTTTTCCATATTATATTGCCAACACAGGATGAAGGTGAAAATGAGATGTTGGAGGAGGTTATCTGCCAATTGCTTCCTGAATTCCCAAGCCATATTGATATCAACCTTCAGTGGTTCAGGTATATCATCCTCTACTGTCATTCAATACTTGATGCTATTCATACTGTACTTTCAGACTATAAAGCAGCTGCAAAGGATAAAAAGATGTAAAAATATATCTCCTACCCATTGGAGAGGTGCCAGGAGCTAAGAAATGATTGAAAAAATATTTGTTTTCACTCCAATTAGATTAGAGACTAAAATAATCTAAAAAGCCTTTGCCAAGCTCTTGAGTGGGAATATGAGTCTGAAACAAATCATCTAAGACTCCTAGCCCAACAATGAATGTTATATCTGGAAATACTTCTGAAATCATGTCACATTATCCACCAAATGACATCTGGTGGCTACTGCAACCACTACAATATCATTAATGGGATGGGTAGAAACACGAGTTGGTGTTGAAACTTTCAAATAACATTCCAGAAAGCTATGACTCATAGGTGGTAATGCAATGAAGAAACCATTTTCAAGCCCAGGCAACACATTGGAAGACCACTATAGATTTCATGCTCCACAAGGACTGCAGGACTTAAGACAAACTTTAGAGGCTATGAACAGAGCATGAGGAAAAAGTGCAAGCTAGCCAAAATGATGAAGCTATCTGTAATATATTATCAGAAAGACATCAACTGACAACCACTTTGAATGACCATTCATCACCTTAAGTAGACCCATAAGGTCTCCTAAAGTAAATACATATTTATACTCAATTAATCTCTTCTTGCTTTGAGGCCCGGCATGGCCAGGTTGTTAGGGCGCTCGACTCGCAATCTAAGGGTTACGGGTTCGAATCCCCCATCACACCAAAAATGCTCGCCCTTTCAGCCGTGGGGGCACGTTATAATGTGACGGTCAATCCCACTATTCGTTGGTAAAAGAGTAGCTCAACAGTTGGCGATGGGTGATGATGACTAGCTGCCTTCCCTCTAGTCTTACACTGCTAAATTAGGGACGGCTAGCGCAGATAGCCATCGTGTAGCTTTGCGCGAAATTCAAAAACAAACAAACTTCTTGCTTTGGTTACTTCATTTTTATTTCAAATTATTTTGTAAATCTGTATTTTTAAGCTTGAGTTTTTGGTGTAAATACAGTTTTTAGTGACTCTTATGGAGCATTTTGTAATTTATCTATTGTACAGGAAGGGTTTTAGTTTTTTATGTACAGATTATATACCCTTAATATTTTTTGTAAACATTTTATTCAATAATTTGTAGTATTTTTCTATTTGTCTTGTATTACCAGTGCTTATTAACTCTTATCTTTAACATTTAGGCTTGAGTTTGATTTAATTGATTCATTTTAGCTGTTTACATTGAATTTTACTCAAACTGCAAGATTAGCACATCAGTATTTATCTATTTTTTTGTTTCCTTTATTGTGTTTTTCCTATCATTTTCAACCTTTCTCATTTTGTATTCTCATAATTTGGTATTATGTTTCTTTCATATAGGTATTTAATAAAGCGTTTTATTTTTTGGTATTTGAAGGTGTGGTTCTCTGTATGTGTACATATATATATATGTATCACCTGTATTGTATTTCCTCTATCTTGTCTCTCATTCAAAGGTTTATTTAATTTTTTATTGATTTACATTTTCACATATATATAAAACAGAGGTTCTATCATATGTTACATATTTAGTTAGTAGCACGTGGGTTAACACATTTGTTTTACCTGCAAATTTGCTGTATGCAGAGATTGTTTTATGCATCCTATGCCACTCTGTCACATTAGCATCCATTAATGAAGACTGTGATTTTCTTGAAATTTCACAGAATCACGTGATAAAAATTAAATCAGTATACATATAGGGGTTGTAATATGCAAATAGTACATATCTCCCTTTTTTATGTACACATCTCATGTGTAAAATCTTTTCAAATTTCTCCAAGTTCTGATTTGGACATACTAAATATGGTCCTGGTTATGTGCTAAATTAAGCCTGAAGTGCTACTTTCTGTTGTAGGATCTCATCACGAAAGCTATCTACTGTTTCACGAAATAGTTGTATTGTATTCTACTTTACCTTGTGGTACAGAGGACTGCTCTATGAGTGCCAGATGGAGCATACACTCTTTTGGATTATTTGTAACCAATTTTCTAATTATTATTTTTGTTACAGTTTATGTGTCATTAAATGCAGTTTTCCTTTTTTTTTTTTACTTACAAAGTGATTTGTATATTTTTTCTCTAACTTTATTACCTAGTGTTAATAGTGTTTATTTTTGCTTCAATTTCAATACCGTGTCTTGTCCTTTTACTTACTAAGTCCTTGATTTTCTAATTATTGCAGAGATCAGGTATCTGTGTGCTAGATTTAACCTGAAAATTACCACTCTGGAAAGAAAACCAACATATGGACTGCTGGTTAGTTTTATAGAGATAAACTAAATAAAGCAATGATCACTGAACCTTTTTCTGTGATTTTTTTTGTTAAAGGTTGAATGTTTTAGCTTTAGTGATGTATAAAACACTAGTGCATGCATACTCAAGGAAGAATAATATTTTGAAGATGCTGATGTTAA